TAGACAGGGATCACAGCTTCTCTCCCATTGAGTGGCCATGCTGTCCAGTCTAATAGAGATGCCCAGTGGCTGTTCATGATGACACTGTTGGGATAGGGCCCAGTGCCCTATCAGATATTTTCATCTGCTGATTCTGCACCAAGTATTTGGCATGGTTAAGTGTCTTCCTTTAGTTCATTGCTCTTTCCCTGTAACTTAAGGATACGAGCACATGGAAGCTGGATTGGGTAGAGACACTTGGCAACTTGGAGAAGGGGTAGTCATCTCTCTACAAGGGGATTCAGGACCTTGCACATATCCAGGGAGTAGATGGCAACTGCTAGGTCAAACCCAAGACTCCTTTCCAGCTGTTATTCAGCTGGTGTGGATGCACACCAGTGCCTAGATGCTGGTCTTCTGACCCCAAACCAGTGCCACCACATTTGGGGTTAAAGATGACCTCCATGTCTCCTTGTTTAATAACTTGACATTTTAAATGGTGTTTTTCTCTCTATCTTTGGTTTTCTAGAAGGTAGTAGAAAGAATTGCACTTCATGGATTTGATTGGAATGGGGATGGGAAGAAGAATCTAGGTGGGGATCTTCTCTTGCTCCTTAAATCCTCCCTGTGTTATTATTTTCCTAAGCACATATGACCTTCTAATGTCCTGTATATTTCACTCATTTATTTCTAGTTTATACCAGTAGATTGTGTCCTCTGTGAAGATGGGATTTTTGTCTTTTCATAGCTGCTATTGTTTGTATGACATCTAAAACTGCCTATTAGCTATTAGGTGCTCAATAGATATTTGTTTATTGAATTAATTAGTCATCTTTCTAGAAGTAGCTATTGCAACCAACTCCAGAGTCTCTGAATTTGTTTTAGATGTTGAAGGTCCTGCACAGAAGCTAAGATATAAGACTAGAAGTTTCCAGAATGTAAATTCTAGGAATGTAAATCCTAGGAATAAATCTAGACTATGAACCTTTTAGATCTGTATTGTAATTCTATCAGAGGGACCAAGGGAGGGATGTGATGGCAGGGCCTGACTGTTCCCCATATCTCCCTTAAAGTTTGAGGTATATCATTTATTAATTCATTTAGCCAGACAGGCAAAGAGTCGATCGTTTATTAATAATTAACTCCGGAGATAAAAAGTTCAACAAGGCATGTTAAACTTACCGTCACAAGTCTTGTCATCCATAGATAGATCAACATTTTGGGGGAAATAATTTATCCTTTTAGCCTGTTACAACCCTGTGAAGAAACATTCCTTAGCTTCTCGGCTTTTCCTGCCATGTAATTTTGCATGCAGAAACTTAAGTGAGTTCTTCAAAGAGAAGGTTTCTGCCATGGTGGACTCTCCAGACCTGGGTGATAAGATTGAACTTCTTGTCAGCCCAAGTTCCTGGGGTTACTCATGGATCACTGCACCAGAACCAAGTGCCACTTCTAACTTGCAGGGAAACTCTTTTTCTTTTCTTGGTGACACGGAGCCAATGATGTTGGAACCAATGATGTTGGATAGATAGGAGGGAAAAGCATAGTAGGGTGTGTATGAGGTAGAAGAAAAGAGAAAATGTTGAACTTGAAAAGTTCCCCTTCCTGATTTTCCTGTTGCCAGCTCACATCCTTTCTCTGATAATGGGTTTAGTAGTGAATGTGTCATGAGCACCTTGCATTTATTTCATCTGTGATCAAATCCCAGAAAATGGAGGGGATATATCAGGAACTTAGTGGCTTTTCCTGTGTGACTTAGCCACAGCCTGTATGAAAAGAATTAACAGTGTGAACCAGGCTCGGTGGTTCAGCCTGTAATCCCGTGCTTTGGGAGGCTGAGATGAGTGGATTGCCTGAGCCCGTGGGTTCAAGACCCACCTGGGCAACTTGGCGAGACCTCATCTCTACAATAAATCAAAAAATTAGCCGGGTGTGGTATCACGCACCTGTAGTTCCAGCTGCTTGGAAGACTGAGGCGGAAGGATTGCCGGAGTCCAGCAGGTCGAGGCCGTGGTGGCCAGGAGTGGCCACCGCACTCTAGTCTGGGTGACAGAGTGAGACTCCAACTCAAAAAACAAAAACAAAAAAAGAGTGTGGGTCTATTATAAACCCAGAGTGAATCAGCACTGAGAAGAGGTTATTGAAAGGAGGTGACAATTAAGTCTAGAATGAGGCCAGCAACTCTGGGGCACCTTCCTTGAGAAGCAGAGAAGAAGTACTCAGGGTGGAGGGGTCTGGGGGAAGACATTCAAAACTATTTCAAATGAGGAGAAGTTAGAAGAAGGTGGGGATCCTTATTTTAGAGAAGGCTCAGAAGAACCATCTGTGTTATCTTCAGATGATGGTAGGTCTCTCCATGTGCAATAAGCACCAGACCTTTCTGGAGCCTCAGGGGTTACAGTGAGGATGACTGGGCAGAAGGACTTCCTACAGAGGTAGTCAAAGAGATCCACCTGGGGAACTGTTCTGGGCCTCACTACCTGGTCCATTAGGATGAAGGTGAGTCCTAATTTGTACCTGATGAGCTCAGACATCTACTGAAGCCAGCTTAGGGCACAGCAAGCTGATGTGCAGCCCAGGAAGAAGAGAAAAGGTCAACTTTAGTTTGGGGCCATTTTCTATGATCCTTCTCTTCCCAGTTTGCCTCCATTCAGCTGACTTTATTTTTCTGCTTCCTTAAAAATATTTTCATGTACCTGTTGTTCCAACAATTCAACTTTTGAGAATCTTTTTCATAGAAATAAAAATAGAAGCCCTTACTGATCTATGCATAAGACTGTGAATATACATGCATATATATACACACACATTTATATAATTGTTTGGCAAAAATGTGGAAACAATCTGAATGACAATTAAAAGGAAATAATTGAGTAAATGCTGATCTATTTATAATATGAATTTTGTACGAGGATGGAGAAAGTAGTAGAAGAGTACGGATTAAGTTGTTGACTGGACGTGGGCTGGAGAGTTTGGGGTGGGATGAGGTAGGATAGGGATCTGAGAGGTAGATGGGGCAAGAATGGAGACAAAGTAAAGGAAAATGAAGGGGGATGCCTCATCTCTCTGTCTGTCTGTCCATGTGTTGACCTCTCGCTCTGTTTTCTATCAGTCATCAATTTTTGTATTATATATCTATTCTCATTTATCTATATGTTATGCATATATGTATGCATGTATCTACCTATTTTCCATCTGTTATCTCTATCTATCTATCTCTATCTATCCATCTATCAATCATATATCTCTATCGTCTATTTATGCTCATTGGTCGTGCTAAAATGTATTAATTTAGAGGACTTTAACAATAGATTTAAAAAAGAAAGAAAATTGTTTTTTCTCACAGGCCAGTCCTATCTTTTACTCTGTTGCTCTTTTCTGATAAGAACTGTCTCAGCCTCTCTATTAAAGACAATCCAGAGGTTTTATAATAAAAATATCTTAGTTTTAATTTGTTCAAGGTGGTCCAGAAAGAAAATTAAAAATAAATCTGGGGAATATGTAAAGATAAAATATTTTGAATCACAGTTGAATTTCTAGATATCATAAAAGATGATGACTTGAAGATCATCTGTATTTTTCTAAGTTGCTTCTTTGTTCTATAGAAGAGATTCATTTTCTCGAGTGCTTCAGGAAAAAAATGTTTCCTTTCTTGAATCTAGGGAACACAGGGTCAGGTTAGGAGCACCCAACTCAGTTAAGAAATTTGCTAGTTCTTTGTAGAAAGAGTTCTAATACCTGTGTGTGTGTGTGTGTGTGTGTGTGTGTGTGTGTGTGTGTGTGTGTGCGCGCGCGATATCAGTTTTTCTCTTTTGAAATATCTAGCAAGAGGCTGCTGTGTGTTTGTGTGTGTGTGTGTGTGTGTGTGTGTGTGTGTGTGATTTGGATGCTTTCTTTTAAATTACTTTTAAGAATTGTTTTCCATATTAAATTATTTTCATTATACTTTTATATCTGGTGCTGATGCTTTTTTCTATGCTAATAATTTGTCTATATCCATAATATCTTAGACAGTGTAGAGCTGGATGGCAATTTAACCCGTGGTTATCTTGAAAGAAGGGTTTGAGGATAGTATGCTATTTCATATTCACATTTGGATGTTGACTCAGCCTGATTCCAGGTAGTATTACTGATACAAAAGCAAAAGAACAGGCATATTAGATCCATGGAAAGAGTAACACTATTTATCATATTTTAAGCTGTTCATTCTATATGTTAACTGAAATATGAATGCATCTTACTGTGTGTGTGCATTTATTAGGGAAATATTGCAAGTAAGTAATGGTCTTTATAATGAAAGGTATTGAAAATCTCGTAGAATCCTATTAGCTGGTCATTGAGTTCTCGACAGTTGATGCAATTAGAACACTTCAGAATCATGAATCTCAACCAGAATTGCAGTCTACAGAATGCTATTTTGATTCAGACAAACCTGGAAGTTACGGAAATGCTTATTTCCATATAGTTGACTGCCTTATAGCTAGATAATACTAAAAATCTACAAAGTAGGATTTGTGCATGGCTGACTCCATTTTTAAAATCTCGGCTTTCATTCAGAGGCACCATGATTTTGGGAAAACTAGCCATGTGCAGTGACATTTTTCCACCTCACAGGCTAAAAAACTTTTCCTGAGCCCCCAAACCTGAATGGTGCTTATGGGCAGTTTATTTGTCAGTCACACGTGGGTGGAGAGAACTGGAAGAGATAATGTTCTTTGGAGCTGTGACTGGCAGAGAACGAGCCAATGAACGTGGGCCATGATGTGGAGAGATGTTCTAACTGACGAGGTTGCTTCTATTCTGCATTTGCTCTGAATGTCCTGTCAAGCATTTCTTTTGAGTTTTGTTGCCACTGTCGCTTTGTTTCCTTGGGCATCAAATCTGCTTCTTCCAGAAAGAACTCACCCTGGCCTCCACCCCCCTGGGCTAGTCTGTAAGGCTGCACGACTGCCTCTCCTGTGTGTGTTTGAGTCCATGGTCTTTTGCTGCTTTTCTCATGCCTTTTCTTTATGATGTTTCAGCTCATCCACCATACACCATGTGCTTTAGAGTGAAATTCTACCCACATGAACCCTTGAAGATTAAAGAAGAGCTCACAAGGTATTTTCCGTTTGTTTGTATGTTTAACGTGCCCCTTAACCAGTCAGGGCCTCTGAGTCTTGCAGGCTAGACATGCCTCCTGTCTAGAGCAGAACGTCTTGACCATGTAGGCCTCGAACTCAGAGTTTTGACTTGGAATGCTTACTTCTCTTACAGTTAATTGTCTTGAGATTTTTTTTCAACAGTTGTCATTGGGAGTGTAATTAACTGCACAAAAAAGCAGTGGTTGTAAGGGGGTGATATTCTCCAAAAACATCTGACAGTGGAATGCTAAAAATAAACAGAGGCTGTCTTCAGGACATAGGCAAATTCACAGCTAGTGCGGCCCCTGCCCCCCACCCAGCTTATCTTTTGGATCTGAGCTTTTCTGGGAGGAAGAGATCACTTGACAGAATGCACTGTTTGGGGCAGGTTTTTCTCTACATGTAGACTCTTCTCAGCCCAACTCTCCAAATGTTCTAGTTACTGGATCTCCTCCTTTTTCATCTCCCTCTGGCAGGGCTACTGGAAATTTTGCTTCCATGAATACCCTGGGTGAAGTTTGCTGAGCAGAATCCCAGGAGGATGGGAGAAAGAGGGGCTGTGCACTTAGTTCTTGATGAGGCTCTGACTTGGTGACCATAAAAACCACTATGTATAATCATCTCTCAAAATAATCTACTTAGGTGCAGATGCAACAGAAAAGCAAATGTAATTTGCTCTGATCATTGGCAGGGGGACGTTTGGGGTTCTCGGATATTTCACCTCCTTGTTATCCAGAGTCTCTGGTAAAGCTTGACCAGACTGGTACAGGGGTGACTTTGCAAGGGAGCAGATGGTTCTGTTCTCTATTATTAATTTTCCCACAGCTGTTGAGTGAGGTTAGTGCTGGAGATGGGGGGATGGGCAGAGAGGGTGTGCAGGTTTGTGTGTGGAAAGAGGGATAATGGATAATCGGCATTATTTGTTGTGGCTGGTATTTTGTAATCTGACCTGCTCTTTTCTTTTTATTGAGGTAAAATTCACGTGATACAAGTTAATTTCACCATTTTAAAGTGTACCGTTCAGTGGCATTTAGTGCAGTCACAATATTGGGCAACCGTCACCACGATCTAGTTCCAGATGTTTCATCACCCCAGGAAGAACCCTTGTACCTGATAGCAATCACTCTTCTTTCTCCCTTCCTCCAACCCTTGACAACCATTAGTCTATTTTCTGTCTCTGTGGATTTGCCTATTCTGAACATTTCATAAAAATGGAATCATACAGTATGTAACCTTGTCCTGATTTGGGCTTGAAAATTTTATGTATTTGATAAGTTCTTTTTCACTTGTTACTATCTACCCAGGGGACAGGGCCTGAATTAGCAAGAGAGAGAGAGAGAGAGAGAGAGAGAGAGAGAGAGAGAGAGAGAGAGAGAGAGAGAGATAGATTGATTTGTCCTGCCTTCAGGGTGCTAACAGTGTAATTAGAAAGATCAAATACTAATGACTCACTTTGGTCATTTGTTCTCTTTATAATCTTGTCTGGAGGATAAAAATTGAATATGTGTCATGATATAAATTAAGGATGGATATTTTGTTATTGTCAAGAAAAGCTCCATTGCATAGTAAAAGACTCCAAAATTTTGGTTGATAACCCTAGTTTAACACCCTCAATAACATTTGCTAGCATTTTCCTGCCTTTAGCTGAATAGCTCAGGTATGAACAATGGAGAATTGTGAGCATTTTGATGTTTCCAAAGGAAATTAAGATGACCCATTGCTTTTGTGCAGGTAGAAATGAATTTTTCATAGTCGACACAATCCTTTGAATTCCATAATAATTTAGAAACAGTAGAAGGGCCTGAGTACTTATGGTTTACGTTCTTATCTAGAAGGCGTTTAATTTTTCTTGTATAAGTTGTTATTTTATTGTAAGATTAATCTAAAATTTGAGAAGAATTTAATATATAACAAGTAGAGATCATATTCATGGCCATGCTTAGGAGTAGAGAAACGTTAAGAAAAGACAGTTTTAAAAGAGCAAAACAACAAAAATATTCCCCAAGAGAATATTTTAAATCATTTTTCATTCTTTATCTCTCCATTCAGTCTTATAGTCCTTTAGATTTCTGAGGCTTTTGTAAATGCTCTGTACAATTGAGTGTAACCAAATGTGTATTGACTTTAATTTTTCTTCTTTTCTTTTTTTTTTTGTAAGAACCATCTTTAAATCTGTGTTAGGCAGAAAAGCAATGTCATTAATGGCAGCACAATAATTTGTGCTCCAGGTCCTCTTCTGGTTTTATTGCTTAATCTTTTCATGCAGGAGTGATGCTAAGAAAATATGTATTATTTTTGTGTGTGTGGCTAGATTATTAAAAAATGAGCACCCTTGAACGTGAAGCCGTTTGTAAGGCTCAGTGGATTATACTGAATCCACAATAATCCTTGATTATCTCCAAGAGATCACTGATATGAGCAAAAACCCAAGCTCTGATGTGAAAGCTGCTTTACTTTTCTCAGGAAGCTTTCACCAAATTAATTTCTGTGTTAAGAGATTAGAACTCAAACCTCTCATTCATGTAGTAGTTATCCGAAACTACTTTTCACTATCAAACTTATCAAAAAGTGGAAATGAATGTGCTTATGTTCAATGCATACATTTCAACATGTAGAAAAGAAACCTTATGGTATTTGACCTGGTAGTTTACAGTCCTTCAAAAGAGGGCAAAAGCTTGATCATTTCCAACATTTGTGTGACTTTGGTATTCTGAATGTTCTAGAACCATGGTCCTCAAAGTGAGATGTCTGTGTCAGCCATATCAGCATCACTTGGGAGAGAACTTGTTAGAAATGCAGATTCTTGGTCCCTGCCCTAGACTTACTAAATAAAACTCTCCAGAGGTGGGGCCCAGCAATCTGTATTTTCTTAAGCTCCCCAGGTAATTCTAAAGCATACCACAATTTGAGAACCACTACTCTAAGACAGTTTGGATTTTCAAAAGCAGACGTTTCTTTTGGTAGACGGTAAAGTGTACAATTCAGTGGTTTTAGGATGTTCACCAAGTTGTGCTACCCCCACCATAGACTGATTCTAGAACATTTTCATCACTCTTGCAGGAAAATTGGTACCCAAGCAGTCATCCTATATACGCCCCTCCCTCCAGTTCCTTGCGACCACTTATCTGTCCGCCTCTATAGAATGAATTGTCTGTTCTGCACAATTCATATAAATGGGATTAAACAGTATGTGGCCACTTGAGTCTGGTTTATTTTTATTTAGCATACTGTTTTCAAGGATCATTCCTGTTGTGGCATCCATCAGTACTTCATTCCTTTTTGTGACTGAACAATATTTCATTGTATGGATATACCACATTTTACTTATTCATTCACCAATTGATGACATTCGGGTTGTCATCACTTTTAGCATTACCAGCACCTAGACCCCTCATCCCAGATTCAGATGTTTTAAGTTGACAGCTTTGCTGAGATAGAATTCATATGCCATAAAGTTCAACTTTTAGATTGTATACTTTGGTGGTTTTCAGTGTAATTCACACAGTTTAAAAAAATTGACCAAAATATCAGTCACTACAATCTAATATGAAAACATTTTTATGTCCCTCAAAAGAGACCCCTGTAACTATTGGCAGTCACTCCTCTTCCTCTCTCCTTATCTCACCTACTCCCAGCCCTCAGCAAACACTGATTTGCTTTCTGTCTCCATATATCTGCTTCTTTTGGACATTTCAGTGGACTCATCCGATATGTGGTATTTTGCAAAGGGCTTCTTTTACTTAGCATACTGTTTTAAAGTTCATCCCTGTCGTAGCATCGATCAGTACTTCATTTCTTTCTATGGCTGGATAATATTCCGTTGTATGGATATGCCACATTTTACTTATTCATTCACCGATTAGTGGACATTTGGGTTGTCATCACTTTTTAGTTAGGAATAATGCTACTGTGAACACTCATGAGCAAGTTTTGGTGAGGACTCTAATTCTGATTTAATTGGGTCTGGGGTAGGATCCAAGCACCCACGGCACTGGGATTTTTCAAAAGCTCCCCTAGGAGATGTTAGCATGCATTCCGGGTTGAGAACCGCTAGTTTAGAACCTTATTATTCAAAGTGTGGTGTGTGGATCTGCATCACGGTATCACCTGGAGCTTATTAGAAATGGGGAGGCCGGGCTCAGTGGCTCAGCCTGTCATCCCAGCACTTTGGGAGGCCGAGGCAAGTGGATTGCCTGAGCCCGTGGATTCCAGACCAGCCCAGGCAACTTGGTGAGCCCAGGCAACTTGGCCGCATCTCTACAATAAATAAAAATTAGCCCAGTGTGGTAGCACACACCTGTAGTTCCGGCTACTTAGAAGGCTGAGGTGGAAAGATGGCCAGAGCCCAGCAGGTCGACGCTGGGGTGGCTATGAGCATGCCACTGCACTCCAGCCTGGGCGACAGAGGGAGACTCCGACTAAAAAAAAAAAAAAAGAAAAGAAATGGGGAATCTCATGCCCACGCCAGACCTTCTGAATCAGAAGCTGCATTTTAACAAGCACTTCAGGTAATTCCTGTGTGTATTAAAGTGTGAGAGGCGTTGGTTTGGGAAGCTACTCTGGGTTCTTACCTACCATATGTAATATTATTCCTCTGACAAAATGCACACCAAACTCTGTATAAAAAACTTGTCAGGGACTGCTTTATCCCCTGCACACAATTCCATATTGAACTAGGGACAGAGAATGTCATTTGAGCCTCCACTGTGTCCCTAGTACTGAGCGCAGTACACAGCATAGAGCAGGGTAAGATAAACATGCAATGAAGGAAAAATACCAGGGAGCCATGGAATCCTTCCACATGTCCCATGTCTTTCAGTGAACTAGCGCCCAGGAACAGTGAGCTCTCCTGCTCTGGGGTTAACAGCACCTCTCTGACCTTAGCATGTTCATCACCCTCTCTAAGTCTCCATTTTTTTGCCTTAAAAATGGGGATTATGCATACTTCTCCTCATAAAGTTGAGTAAAGATCAAATTACTTGGACACTGGAGGTGTTAGTCAAGGTTCTCCAGAGAAATAGAACCCATGGCACATACATACATATGCATCCACACATCTCTCCAAATGAGATGTATTATAAGGAATTGGCCCATGTGATTATGAAGGCTGAGACATTTCATGGACCCTTGTCATGGACGCTGGAGGCCCTGGAAAACCGATGGTGTCCTTCAAAGGTCTGAGAGCCAGAGAGCCAATGGTGTAGACTCCAATCCACGTCTAAAGGTCAGAGAACCAGGAGCTCTGAAGACAGAAGATCAATGTCCCAGCTCAAGCAGTCAGGTGGAGAGTGAATGCGACCTCAAGTGCCTTTGTGTGCTGTTCAGGCCCTGAATGGGTTGGATGACGTCCACCCACACTGGGGAGGCCCATCCGCTTTACCTAGTCCACCGATTCATATGGTGATCTCTGATGGGGCTGGTCAGCCTTCCAGATGGGGCTGGTCAGCCTTCCAGAAACAGCTGCACAGACACACCCAGAAATAATATCTAACCAGATATCTGGGCATCCCATGGCACAGTCAAGCTGACACATAAAGTCAACCATCACAAGGTAATAACTGAGACTGATTGAGTGATCTCCCCTACCCCCCACAACCCAAGAACATAGGAAGAAAAAATGCACTGGTCTCTGGGAACTAGACTCTAAACTGAGCATGGAAAGAATATGCCCCTATCTGTGAAGTCACTTTGGTTAGAAACAAGAGACCCCGGGCCTGAGGCATCAATGAAATAATTAACCTTGAGAAAGATGAGGAACGCTGAAGCGGGCTGGATCAGCGGGGAGGAGCAGAAAAGACAGAAACAAGATGAGGCTGAACCTGGTCTTGCAAACTGACACGTCCTCAACATCTCCCCTCGACCCCCACTGTTTTTTGTTTGGCGCTGCAGTGTTTTGGAAAACAATTTGTTGCAACATCTGAAATTCAAAGAGTTTCACTTGTGTACCTGGTCTACTACCAGGGGGAAGACGAGCCACCAGAAGCCCAAACTTTCCTTGCACGCAGCCTGCTCATGTAGTAAATCCTCACTTGTGCCCCACAACTCTATGATAAAGACATTTAAATTTAAAAAATAGGGGGCACACTTCATCAACAAGGGTACCTGCATAATGAACATTTGTATACCTAACCCTGAATTGTACCCCACTTCTTTAAAATTAAAAATTAAAAAAAAATTTTACTTGTAACCCCAATCTCCTTTATTTTCTGGAAAAACTGGACACACCTGGTCAGCTTTTCTAATGGCAACACTGGGCTGAGTGGTGTGGTAGCTGACTCTATCCTAGGGAGCCACTATGTCCCCAGCCTGCTTCGAACCCCTTACACCAACCTGTGTGACTCTCCCATGTCACAGGCTACCATGTGTCTGGCTTCAGTAGGCATCTGAGCATCTGGAGAGGGGAGAAGGCCCCACACAGGTGACAGCTCTAGTTGTGAATGATGGCCTTTCTGACGTCATAATAATGTTTCTTTGAGATTGATTAATGTGCGTCTGTCTGCCCCTGAGAAATGATGGGGTTGGCCTTGTAGCCTGGCTAGATCTGTTTCTTGAGTCTCCAGGTCAAACAGAACTTGGCCAGTGTGTACCTGAGAAGAGGGTGTTGATGGTGGCTGCTGAGGTTGTCTTCCTGTGGGAGTTCCTGCCAGGAGCAGTGGCCACTTGGGCCCTGTGGCTTTCCTCAGTTCTCTTCAGGGCTCTTTGAAAAGGCTGAGCCTGTCTAGCTCGGGAAGCTGATGAGATCTGCTCAGTAGACACTCCAAATCTGCGGAATTCAGAGGGCCCCTCTCAGCTTTTTTCTGCTTGCTCCATGAGAGCCTTGGCATGTCTAAGCCCCTCCCTGAAGTGGTGGAGGGCTTTGGTGACCCAGGTGGCTAAAGCATGAACAATCCTGCTTCTCCTAGGCTTCAGCCAAAACTCAGAATGATTATTTCTCCTTTTGTATTGCAGGTACCTTTTGTACCTGCAAATTAAAAGAGATATTTTTCACGGTCGGCTGCTGTGCTCCTTTTCTGATGCCGCCTACCTGGGTGCTTGTATCGTTCAAGGTAAGTCTGGTCACAGCTCACTCACTCCCTCCACTGCATCGTAGGCCTCACTTCTCTGCCCATGTTTGTGATCAGAGGCCAGGTATGGCTGGGTACTTGGCAACAGAGCCCCTGCCCACCTTCCTTCCCAAGCTGATGGGGTCCTGGGGAGAGACTGGGCTGAGGTGTTCACAGGGGCCTCTGCAAAAACAAAGGGTCCTTCAAGCCCCTGGGGTAGAGTCAGAGGCTATCTTTCAGAGGAGTTGGGATGTGTGGTTTGTGAGAAGCTCTGACGGGGTGTGGAGTAGTGAATGTTTTGGGCTCCAGCTGTCAAATATAGGCTTATTGGGCATATTGAGGGAGCCATCTATGTTCAGGAAGGTAGCTGTCAAACAAGGGGGTCATCTCTGGAAGCATTTTCATATATATGAATAAATAAATATGTGAATGTATAAATACATGAATATATATGAGTGTATATATTTCCATATGTGCACGTGTGTATTATGTGTAATTTTTCAGCTTTTCTAGCCATGTAACATGGTGAAGAGAGCACCAATCTCACAATCTGTCATCCTTCAACTTGACTCTTTCTTCCCATTTCCTGGTTACCTCACCATAGACAAATTACGTCAGCTCTTTAAGCTTCAGTTTGTATATCTATTAAATGGGGTAGCCATCTTCCTTCCCTGGCCATGAGATTTCATGAGACCACTCTGCACCAGACCGGGGGAGGCGAAGGCCCGTCAGAGGTGGCTGCTGTTCTTTTGAGGTTTGAACAAGTCACAGGGGGAGAGGGCAGGGGGAAATAGTAAGCGCATTGACCTGGGTTGGCGTCTGGATATCTCCATCTTGTAAGGATAGTGGTTTGGGGAAAGGAGGTCTCCGGGGCCTGAAGCAGCACATTACCGGGGATGGGCCCAGCATCCAAGTCGAGAGTGGCTCAGGTGTTCTGTCCCCCTAGGCCAGTTGGGAGGCAGCTGGCCGTAGGGACCAAGATGATCCAGCCATTTGTAGCATGCATATTAATAACATATTTATGAGAGAAAAGAGGATGGCAGGGAGGGGAGAAAGGAAGGGGAGGAGTGGAGGAAATGGAGTGGGGAGAGAGAAAGAGAGAGAGAGAGGTGACTCAGTATGACAATCTTATGATGGATCTGGAATAAACAAAGAAGCTTATGAAGCATAGGTGACAGTCACCCACGAGCTTCATTCTCCTGGGGATTTCTCTGTGGCCACCACTGTCCCTGTGGGATGCTCTGTGCTATGAAGTAATTCCTTTGACCCTGTTCTCAGGTGTGATTGTTCTCTGAGAATTCTGAAGTGTAAGTGTTATTTTGTCCCTCCCTCTCCAGGAGCAGCCTAGTATTGGGTAGCAGATTTTGGCAGAGGCTGTAAAGCCCTTGGGGATATTCTAGTTCAAGGCAGTCAGAACTACAGTGATACTGTGATGGGAAATGCTCCTTCTGTCTACTCTGAGGTGGAGTGTGAGCTTCTTCCGAGGGTTGCCTCTCTGATCTCAGAGTCAGGGGATGCTAAGTCCCATAGTTCCTTTTGTCCGTGGTGAAGGCTGCATAGACCAAGTTATGGCACACTGTCTTACGTAAGAGAAAAGGGAATCGATACTAATCCAAGCAACAGACCAGCGTTCGAGGATTTTAGAATGCATTTAGGCATTAGTGAATTATCGCAAGCTCAACATGGATCTATAATGGAAAGCTCTCCATCCTCTTTTCTGTTTGAAATAAAGCCACAAAGCCTCCACCCAGACGTTCAGGGTCCTATTTTATCCCTTACTGCTATTAGCACTGACCACATACACACACAGTTGCTGTGGAGAAAGTAGGGTTGGAAATGGACCGGCAGACCTCAAAAGGCCTTTTGGCTCTCCGATGTGGAGGTGTCTGTGGTCATTTGTAGCAAAGTCAGTAAAAGTGGTTCATGAAGTTCTCTGATGCTCAGGTGAGTACTTCAGCAGCTCTGAAGGTCATTTACAAATGCAGATAAAAATGGACTTTGTCAGAACCGCATATTCTTACAGAGTGATAGGGAAAGTGCAGTAAATGATTAGCAATTTGCAGGCACTGTGACTTCTCACTGTCTTGCTTGCTAAGGCTCTTTAAGCAGTATGTTTTAAACTTAGGTATTTTCCAAATGTGTAAGTAACAGCCAACCATCCAGGATTTTGCTATCTATACATACTGAATCCAATGAGCACATTTAATACATGCAATGCATTTTCTTTCATAATACAATTTGCAAAATAAACACACAAAATCATTGGGATCTGTTTATATCTTCTGTTGATAAAAATATCTTTCCTATTCCTTCTACAGAACAACAGCATGAAGGGATTGAACTTGTCTCCTCTGCCTTGTGTATTCAACCCCTGTGTCTCAATTCCTGATGAATATTCAGAATTCAGTTCAGATATTGCTTCTTCTGAGAAGTCTTCCTGGATTGCTCTGGCTACAGTAGCCTGCCTTCTGCATATTATTCTTTCTCACGCACCTCTTTTACTGCCTTGCAAGCACTTATATCTCAAATGATCTTGTTGAGCTGTTTTGGGGTTAATCATGTTGTTTCTTCCTATGTAGAATTGAATTCCGTGGGGGCAGGATCTGGGTGTCTTTTCACTGCAGACTTCCTGTATCTGGCATACAGTAGATTCTCCACTAAATATGTTAGATGAATCAGGGCATTTGCCTGAATTGCACCAGTGTGTGCTTCCTCCCTATACTTGGGAGAGGTTGGTTGGTCACCTGCTGGGCTGGTATTCTCTACCTCATTCATTTATTTATTCATATGTTCTCCGAACATTTATTGCACAGCTGCTAGATGGTAGACACAGCAGACAGAGTCCCTGTGGGGAGAAAGCCAACTAAGCAGGCCATTGTGAGGATGTGTTAACAGCTAGATAGAGGGACACACAGGTCCATTCCCTGCTGTGAATGCCACCGGAGGGCTTCCCTGCAAGGGTGGATTGGGGAAGGATCCTGAAGGAGTTGATCCTGAAACTGTTTGTATCTAGGTTCTTTTGCAATGCATCCTCTTCAAACCAGGGAAAAGCCTGTCACTATCCTTTTTTGAGTTGAGGTATTACTCTGTCACTCAGGCTGAGTGCGGTGGTGCAATCATGGCTCACTACAGTCCCAATCTCCTAGGATCAGGTGATCCTCCCACTTCAGCCTCCTCAATAGTTGGGACTACCAGCCTGCACCACCATGTCTGGCTAAGTTTTTGATTTTTTTTGTAGAGACAGGGTCTCACTCTGTTGCTCAGGCTGGTCTTGAACTCCTAGGCTCAAATGATCCTCCCACCTCAGTCTCCCAACATGCTGGGGTTATAGGCATGGGCCCCTGTACCTGGCCCTGTAACCCTTTTGACACACCATCCCTGAATTTATTCACCCATTTGCCTCAAACTCTGTATTTCTCTCTTAGAATTGAATTCTCTTAGGAAAGTGCTAGAGCCTGTTTCAAACCACAGACCATTCAATGTGCTGTATGTCATTTGTCACAACTTCACCCTCAAAGTCATGTGTAGGAGAAAGAACCATGGCTGTGCACCCAGCTCCTCTTGGTATGAATAACTAGACGTCCTTATTCACTAGAAAACTGCCTTCTGCTTAAGGGGAGATCAGAATAAAAGACAAGCTTTAAGGGACGAGAGACCGTGGCCTGTGATGGGGACAGCATTGATCTTCACCTTGTCAGCATCCCTGTGCAGGCGCCAAGGCATTTCTTCTCTGAGTTTTCTGGCCTTTGCTGGGCCTCTTATTTACAGTGTTTAGCAGAGCAAGTCCATTATATCTTGTAAGTTTTCCTGGAATGAGAAGCGCCCTTTACAACCAACGCCCTCCCTCACCAACCACTCTGCAAGCTGATATTAGCATTAAAAGTGACTTGGTTTCCTATTGGTGGCTCATTACCCCATCACCTATGGAAAGTGGGGCCATTGGGTTATTCCAACTCCTAGATGTTTAAGCCCATAGCCAGCTCACAGGGGTCCTCGTGTGCATGCTTGTGTGTGTGCTATGTGTATTTTTTTTTTCTTAGCTTAGGTTGAGTTCATCATCAGTCCATGGCCCATTCTCATCATTGGTCCCTTTGGGCCCATTGATGGATTGATTTCTTTTTCCATTATTCTCCATTTCCATCTCAAAAGACAACAGCTGGGTTCATATAGATCTCTGTCTTTGCATATATCATTATCCAATGATTAATATTATTTATGTGTGTATACTTTTAAATTGCATAAATTAAATGGGGCTATAGAACCTATTTTATTCCTTCCTTTTTAATGCTCAGAATATTGCTTTTGGGATCTATCCATTGCTGGGTATACATCTATTTTGCTACTTTTTAACTACTGCAGTGTTCTGAAGGGTGCATCTCCTGTGTTTATCTGTTCCACCAACAATGAACACCCCAGATTGTGTCCAGCTTCTGACTATCATGATTGATGCTGTGATTTAAAAAAAAAAAAAGAAACTTGAACATATCATTTTTTTGCATCCAGAGTTTTTCTAGGATATATACCCAGAAATGGGATTGGTTGGTCATAGTATTTGACTAAATACTTCCAACTTGCTCTCTAGAAGAAAAACACATATCTGGAATTCCCCAAAATGCACACTGTTTTTGATTTTTCTTGTCTCTACCAATGTCCCAGTTTGTTGTTGTTGTTTTCCAATAAGTGACATCTTATTGGTTTGCATATCTCTGATTACTAATGAATTTGAACCTCTCTCTCTACATTAGCTCTTTGGGTTTCCCCTTCTGCGAATTGTCTGTTCATATTCTTTAACCATTTCTCTATTAGTTTTCTTGCCTCCCCTTTTAAAAAATTGATTTGGAAAGTTTTCTTCTTTATCTAGATATTAGTACCTGTCAGCTTTAAATTTTGCAAATCTATTATTTCAACTTGTCATTTCTCTATTATTTTGGCTATGATATTCTTTAATCAAGAGATATATTTTAATTTTGATTTGACTAAATTAATCATTTTCCCCCTTGTGATTGATGGTATTTTGGGTCTTATTTGAAAACTCCTTTCTCATATAGTATACACCCTAGATTGGTTTAAGAACTCTGTAATTTGAATTTTGTGAGAGCTTTGCTTTTCTCCCAGCTATGTCCTTTTACATCATTAGATGATTTGACAAGGGGAAGACAACAGATACAAATTACAGAGTTGGGTGTGATTTTTCAGATGTGCTCAAGACATACTGATTTTTATCTACTTCATAGTCATGTTGGTGATGAGGATCTTCTAACACAGTTTTTTCACCCTCTTTGGTCTATTCTCTTGGGTCGTATCCTCTGCTTCTGCCTGGGATACTTGTTTCTTCTGTCTCATTTTCCTTAGCAAGCATGTGAAATCAGTAGAAAATATTCCTATTTCCGGACATTACCTTTTCTTTTCCAGTCTGTGGTCCATGTACCCACCTTAGCCTTCTGGGTTCTTAGAGATGTGCAGGCATTTCTCTTTTTACCCTTGAAGACCCTCCAAAGGCAACAACAGCCTTAATTTGGTATGGTCTTCCCTACGTAGATATATACTCTTTTATTTGGAGAGCAATCCATTTGTTTCTAAGTGCAATCCCCTTGGGTTCCTTCACACTGTGATTTTTCATTGAATAAGTCACACCAGCACACACCTTAGCACAGGGAATTCCTGGATTCAGAGAATATTAGCTATGAAAGGAACCATGAGGAATGTCTACCAGTTTCCAACTAGAGGTGCTACCACCTCGTACCCTAGGGAACATTTAGAAATAATGGGGGAATCTTAAGATTTAAAAAAAATTAAAATTTTAAATTGACGCACATTGTATATATTTATGATGCACAGCATGATGTTGTGAAATATGTATACATTGTGGACTGGCTGAGTCAAGTTAATTAACATACCTGTTACTGCATATACTTTTGTGTGTGTGTGCTGAGAACATATCAAAGCTACTCTCTTAAGGATTTTAAGTATACAATACAGTGTTACTGACTAAAGTCACCACAGTTGTACAATAGATCTGCTGAATATTTTCCTCCTGTTTGAAATCTTGTATTCTTTGACTAATTTCTGGGAGGGAGCAGTTTTGATGGTCACAATGACTGAGTATGCTACTAACGTTTAGTGCCTGAAGGGTAGTGGTGCTAAATGTCCTACAATTCCTTGGAAAAACTAAAATAGTAAAATTGCTAATTTCTTAATAATAAATTGGGGGCCGATTTATTTATTTATTTTAGTAGAGACAGAGTGGTCTTGAATTCAGACTGGTCTTGAACTCCTGGCCTCACGTGATGCTCCTACCTCAGTCTCCCAAAGCACTGAGATTACAGGCATGAACTACCGTGCCTGGCCAAAAAACAATATTTAAATTCCTTTATGATACAGATAAAGAACGCAAGACCCAGAGAAGGTTCTCAAATGCTTCAGCTCACACAGCTAGATCTGAAGGAAGTAGGAGCATCCAGACATTCAGGTTGTGATCTTTCCATGGGCACAAATACATTTTGTGGACAAGGGTGAGGCTATTCCAATCTCTTCTTTGTGATGGCAGGAGACATTCCATATGCACTCTGCTCATATTATTGCTTTTAATCTTTCTCTTCCTCTTTCTCTACTGGTTACAGCTGAGCTCGGTGATTACGATCCTGATGAACATCCAGAGAATTACATCAGTGAGTTTGAGATTTTTCCCAAGCAGTCACAGAAGCTGGAAAGAAAAATAGTGGAAATTCATAGAAACGAACTCAGGTAATCTGGGTAGACATTTGTGACAGTGATGGAGGTGAGAACGTATTCTTACTGCAGGGAATGTCACAATCAAGTTGGGATGGAGCATATTTGTCACCGATGAGCAGACTGTTTTGACAGCGGAGCGATATCTCTGGGCATGGTCAAGGGCACACTGGTGTCCTCCATCAATAACAATCTCATTAGTGTGGGGTCCCCTGGGTGGCTGTTTATGAACCATCCATGGTTATTAGAGCCCATGCATTTTCTTACACATATGAATTTCTATCCGCCCTGAGTTTCTGAAAGTAAAACCTAGGGTACATAAGTAATCCTCTCTAATTTGAATATTGTTTTGTCTTTTCTCCTCCTGTGGCTGCTGCTGGAAGCATTGACTCCAGATAGAGTAGAATCTATTGAAAAGGTTCCCTTTGCCGAGCTGCTTTTGAGATGACAGATTTAGTATCTGCTCCTCCTTTTCCCATCTGTGATGCTTCAGGATGATAACTGCGGGTAGTAGTGGTAGGAGTGGCAAAATCACACACAGCATTCACCATGTACTCCACACCGTTCTAAGCATTTTGCACATATTGAGTCATTTAATCTTCACAACAGCCTAAGAGGTAGGTTGCTGGTTATTCCCATATTACAGATGAGGGACTCCGGCACAGGGAGTATAAACCAGGGTCATACAGCTAGTAAGTATCAGAGTTGGGATTTGACTTCAGGCAGGCTGGGTCTAGAGTCTGTGCTCCTGAGTGCCGTGTGGATGCTTCTACTCCATATAGGCTCCTGGAAATAAAATGAGGCATGCAGAGGAGCCATCACCAACTTGGAATTCAGGTAACTCAGGTATTCTAGTCTGTAACTAGAATTCAGATCTTTGCAAACCACAGAGAGTCTTTTTGATAATAAGAGCAAGCATGGCCAGTGTTATGACAAATATGCATGAAGAACTAATTGCAAGAGCTGAGATGCTTCCTTCTTCTGGGCCTCTGGTAATTATAAAGAAAATAACATCATTGGATTATGAATTCTGGAGCAAATAATGGTCCCGTGAGGGAGTGCTTGAGCTCTCTACTTGATGCCAGCACTCCCCCTTCTGGTGAGTCTGAGAAGTGTGTGCACGAGGGCCTTCAAGGTGGGCAACTCATTTCGGATGGAGATAAAGATGATTAGACATCAAAACATTGTACCTGATTCAGAAAGTGATGTAGCGTTTATATGACTAATTTTAGAGTATTTTCTCCTAGGGAAGAAATGGAAGATACATGTAATTCTCACTATTCTCTTGCCATTTTGGAGATAAGTGGGCTAAGACGTAAAACTCAGGTTCCAATATTCCTGTGGAGGAGTTTGCAGTATAGCGGTGTCCTAGGGAGCACAGGGTGAGAACCGCTGGATAAAGGGATTACATCCACTGTGAAGATTGGTAGGAGATGGAAATGGAAATGTTTTCCATGCCCGGAATTGGCAGGGCCTCACGTGCTTGGAACATACAACAATAATAAACATTTATTGAGCACTTACGGATGCCGAAACATTGGCTAAGAGCTTTATAGGCATTATCCTACTCAGTCCTCCTAAATTCTGTGAGGTGAGTGCTGCTACTGTTCCCAGTTTGGGATGAGGAAAGTACAACCCGGAGTGGTTTCATCCCCATGCTGGGCTGCTGAAAGGGAATCAGGTGGTCGGCGGAGTGCTTCGTGGTGATTACCGCGTCAATGGCACTTGAGGATGGGGGCCAGGGGCAGGAGGGGCAGTTAATAATTTCTACTGTCCAGACAAGAAATGCCAAGGGCCTGAAAAAGAAGAGGAGTAAAGGAAATTGAAAGAAGAGAACCTTGAGAGGCATTGCAGCAAGACTTGGTGACCCACTGGATTTCACAAAGAAATAACTGACTCAAAGAAGATTCCAGATTCTTTTATCAAGGCTCAGAAAGCTGTAGATTGAACCCTGGGCCAGCACCTGGGTTTGATGATATCCCAGAAAGTGGTCATTATGCAGTCAGGGGATAGAGGGGATCATCTGTCAGCAACAGCTTGTAAGTCTCAGAAGCAAGTCTGTGGTTTGATCAAAGCTGCCATTCTATGGCATATGAGGTGTGGCCCATTTGTAAAATACAGAAAGCCTTTGTGATGAGGTCCAAGTTTATGTCCGAAGGATGAAACTGCCAGGAATCACGTGACACTCCAAGGACAGTGTCAGGAGTATTTTCCTCTGTATTTTTGCTCATTCTCCCCAAGTAGTCCTGCGTTTCATTCTGTATCGGTGTGGCAGAGAGAGATTTTAGGTGTGGAGGGGAAGACTAGAAACTGATGGTGCAGAGGGAGAGGAGCTTCCTCCAGTCCGATGGGAAGACTGCTCGAGAGTGAAGGTGCTCTGGGCGTTCTGCCAGCCCTTCACATACAGGCCAAGAAAGGTTGTCCTTCTCATGTGGAGAATCAGGCCTTTGGTTGAATGCTCTGCAAACCTGGCAGTGCCAGGAAGAAGTCACAGGGGGAGGAGAACTGGGCGGGGCTGCACCAAGGTATAGTCATCTTACTTTCCAGTGTTATCCCGTGACATTCTCACACAGCAAAGGGATAGTGTGTGGCCATGGAACCACTGTTCTGGAGATTTTCCCAGAGGATGCCAGTTGGTCTTTGTTCTTTCTGCCTGGTTTCTGAACCAGTTGAGAAATAAAACGCAATCGATGCTCAAACATTAGCAGAATTGTTGGCGATTCACAGTGAGCTAGGCGTGTTTACCTGGGGAAGGGATGGTTTTGTCACCTTCTCCCAGCCTTTGTATTGACTAGAATCATTCTGCTTCTGTGCTTTCCGAGGAAGGGACAAAAGCCGTCATTTTAGGAGAAAATTAATCAGGGAGAAAGAAGAACTTTCCTCTCCGGGAGGTTACACACTGACAGATAACCATGAATAAGAGAGCTCTTTTATTTGTAATCTTTCTTTTTTTTAAAAAAAATTTTTTTTCAGTAGCTTTATGGGGTACAAAGGACTTTGGTTACATGGATGCATTGCGTTGTGGCGAAGAAGACTGGGCTTTAAGTGTCCCACCAGCCCCGCCTGTGCATATTGTACCGGATACATGATTTTTTAAATCCCTCCTCCACTTCTCATGCTCACTCTTCTGAGTCTCCAGTGTCCACTGTACCATTCTGTATGTCTTGAAGATCCTTAGTTTAGTTCCCACTTATAAATGAGAGCATGTGAGATTTGGTTTTGTGTTGCTTCACTTAGGGTGATGGTCTCCAGTCCCATCCAAGTGGTTGCAAAAGACATAATTTCATTTTTTTTTTAAGGCTGCATCATATTCCATGGTGTATGTGTGTGTGTGTATGTGTGTGTGTATAACACATTTTTTTAAACCACTGATCAGTCGATGCATGTGTAGGTTTTTGATTCCACATCGAATTGTGCTGCGATCAAAATATGAGTACAGGTGTCTTTTTTTTTTTTTGAGTTGGAGTCTCACTCTGTCGCCCAGACTGGAGCGCAGTGGCCGCTCTCGGCCACCGCAGCCTTGACCTGCTGGGCTCCGGCCATCCTTCCGCCTCAGCCTTCCAAGTAACCGGAATTACAGGCATGCGCTACCACGCCTGGCTGATTTTTTTGATTTATTGTAGAGGTGAGGTCTTGCTGCACAGGCGGGTCTCGAACCCATGGGCTCAGGCAATCCACTTACCTCAGCCTCCCAAAGGCGCGGGATTACAGGTGTCTTTTTAATATGATGACCTAATGACCTCTGTTCACTTGGGTAAGTAGTGGGATTTCTGGACTGAATGGTAGATCTATTTTTAGTTCTTTGAGAAATCAATAAGAAAGTACTGTAGGATGGGGGTGGGGGGAGAGAGAGAGAGAGAGAGAGAGAGAGAGAGAGGGAGGGAGAGAGAGAGAGAGAGAGAGAGAGAGTTCTTGGAGTTTTAAGATGCTCAAAAATAGAAGACCAAGATTTTAGTAAGTTTTCATGAACTAAATTAGATAGCTCTAAGTGTTTAAGAGATTGATTAGTGAAAATTAAAATTCACGCCTGGATCAATTTTTTCCCCTTAAATATGCTATATCTTTGACTACACTGGAGGTGAGAGGAGGAAGTCAGTTTTGCAAATATAATATAATATGATAGCATATTATAGTTATTGATCATCTCTGCATTAGTCTAGATTTTGATGAGTAAATTAACAACAAATCTCAGTGGCTTAGAACAAGACAGCCTTCTTTCCTGGCTCCATTCTATCCATCAGAGGTCCGCTGGGAGGCTCTGCTTATCAGTGACACTCAGGAAAATTAAAAGCTTGAATTTGCCGGTTGTTGAACCAAAGGAAGAAGAGAGTTCTGGATGGTCACCCCCCAGCTTGCAAGTGATATGTGCCACTTCCACTTACAGCTCACTGGTCCTACTCAGCGTCCAGGAAGTGCAGTTCTATCAGGTGTCCAGAAGATGGTGTAAGCTGGAAACAACTCTCAACGCCCTTCACGTTCTCACTGGCTAATAGAGTTGTTTTCATTTTATAATAGATAATTAAAGGGTGGTTTAAGTTCACAGAAGAATTAAGGGGATGGTACAGACTTCCTCTATACACCCTGCACTCACATGTATGTGGCTTCTCTCCTATCAACATCCCTCACCAGAGTGGTACTTTTATGACAACTAATGAATGTCATTGATGCACTTGTAATCATCTGCAGTTCATAATTTATACTCTAGATTTGTATGCATGCTGTGGGTTTGAACAGATGCATAGTATTATCCTCTTACAATATTGATACCATGATAATATCACACATAATCGTTTCACTCTCCTAAACATCATTCCCCCATCCTCTCCCCCCAAGGCAACCACTGATCTTTTTTACTTTCTCCACAGTTTTTCCTTTCCCTGAATGTCATAATTGGAAGCATGCAGTATGTAGCCTTTTCAGATTAGCGTCTTTCATTTAGTAGTATGCATTTAAGGTTCCTCCATGTTTTTTCCATGCCTTGATAGCTCATTTTATTTTAGCACTGAATAGTATTC